GAATATATGGGTTTACTAGTGCCAACTTGGCACTTTTTAAGATAAATTATTTTATGAGATAAAAAAATTAGTTAAAAAACACTAAAACTTTTCTAAATTTTAGTTGTTTCATAAGTTACATGTAATAACATGTAAATAAAACTTTTTGAAATAATCTATGAAGTTAATATTTACATTTACATAATCTGCAGTTTAAGATTATTTCTACATAAATATCACAATTAGCACAGCTTATATAGTGACATTTTTCTAATATATAGCCAAAATTGACTGTTATATACCATTGATACCTATTTCCTATCTTTTGCCACAAAGTTATGTTATTCAAACTAGTATAGTTTTTGAACAAATTGTGCTTTTGAAAGAACTTTTTTTTTTGAACTGGAAATTTATTTGGCTTTTATAACAACAAACTTAAATTTATTTTGGTAGCATTGATTTTTGATCATGCCAACTGTGCCCCCTCCCTCTTTGAGCGTATTGGCGGCCGATATAAATAATCTAAATAAATTTATTATCTTAATAAAAAGTTTATAAATATACATATAAAAAAAAAGTATAACATAAATTTAAACAAAAGTTTTTATTTCAGCTAGATTTTTGGTTGTAAGAACTATCTTTGTTAAGAGTATCATTGTCATTGACTAAAATTAAGTTTGAATCTAAACCAGTTTTTATTATTACTGTTACTATTACTGTTTGGTAATGAAATATACTAAATCCCTGGAAGCTAAACTAAATGTTAATATTAATAACTGAAATAGCCACTATTTCAGCATTATCTAAAACAATTTTCAAAGTGTGTGTAGTTACTTTATTTTACAGTTCTACCAAAATTTTTGTAGTTCACGCCCATCAATAGGTTTTATTATTTTAACTTTTTTTTTTTAATTTGTTATTCTTTTTATCTATTTTTGTTTAAAGTTAATTATAAAAATTGACAAACTCACAACCCTGGTTTATTTTATTAAATTTAAGGGGTAAACAGATTCTATCTGTTGACCAGCCTCGCACCCCTTCCTCATCTATTAGGCTGGCGCAGATGTATTTTTAATACATTGTTTCCAGTTTAGGATGTTGAACGCTGGATCTTCTTGACTCAATGCGTGGGTATTGCTTGTGTCTCTGTTTTTATGACTGGGCAACTCATTCTATTATCTCCTAATGAGGGTACAGCTCTAAAACTCAGTTTTATGGTTCTGAGGCCGGCTGGTAGTCAGGTTTCCCGAACTCTGTGGTAGCTCTCAGAGAGGCTGATTCCATCAACAGCCGAAAAATATCAGAGTACTAACAGTGCCATGTTGCGCATGGATGGTGTCCCTGTTTGTACTTTTGGTGTGCATTGCAGAGGCCACATTTGGAGCCCTTTGTTACGGCTTAGGGTTTATTAATAGTAATGAGGCTATTGCTTAGTTGTTAAATAGTGTACTGAGTACTATCTATACTTGAGTCAAGTTCTTTATAAATTTAAAATGACTAAAGTACCTAAAACTAAAAAACACAAAAAACCATCGTCATCACCAAGTTCTCTAAACCTATCATTTACTAATATTCGTGGTCTTCGAAGTAACTTTTCTTCTGTTGAGTCTTATCTCTTGCAAAGTTCACCAGACCTACTTGCTCTTTGTAAGACTAATTTGAGTTTGGCTGTCCCATCTTGTGATCTTAGTGTTGATGGTTATCTTCCTTTAATTCGTAAAGACTCCAATAATCACATGCTTGGCCTGGGCATCTACATTCGTAAGAACTCACCCATTTGTCGTGAAACTAGGTTTGAATCTACAGACTATTCATTTATGTGCTTTCGTTTAGCACAACTTCACTCTATCGCTTTTCTCTTTGTTCTATATCGCTCTCCTTCATCCCAAGATTGCACTATTCTTGATGTTATTTCTGATCAAATTGACCAAGCCCTCTCTCTTTATCCATCGGCCAATATTGTTGTTGTTGGTGACTTTAATGCCCATCACACCGATTGGCTTGGCTCTAGTGTCAGTGACTCTGCTGGCGTTAAGGCCCTCAACTTTTGCCTTTCTCAATCTCTAACTCAAATAGTCAACTTTCCAACTCGTTTTCCAGACAACCCTAATCATTTACCTTCTCTACTCAACTTATGTCTTGTTTTGGATCCTAGTCAGTGCTCAATTTCTCCACATTCACCCTTAGGTACTTCTGATCACGGTTTGATCTCTCTAAAACTATTATCAAATTCTTCTACTTCATCAGTATCCCCCTATCATCGTACCACATACAACTACCTTAAAGCTGACTGGGACTCTTTCCGTGATTTTCTTCGTGATGGCCCTTGGGTAGAAATCTTTCGTCTTCCTGCTGACAAATGTGCTTCTTACATAACTTCGTGGGTTCAGGCTGGCATGGAATCTTTTATTCCCTTTCGACGATTCCAGGTCAAGCCTCACTCTTCTCCTTGGTTTTCCTCACATTGCGCTGCAGCAATTTCTAATCGAAACCGTTACTTCCATATCTATCAGCAAAACAATTCTCCAGAAAACAGACATCTGTTCACTATTGCCAGAAACCATTGTAAAAAGGTTTTGTCTGACGCCAAAGCTCGCTATTCCCAGGTCATTAAATCTCGTATCTCATCACAAAAATTAGGCTCTCGAGACTTCTGGAGAATCTTTAACAGTATCAATAATAAGGGCAAATCTGTTATTCCTTCTCTCTTGTATGGTTCAGACTTTGTCACCTCACCTAAAGACAAAGCTGAATTGTTTGCTAAGAACTTTTCATCAATATCATCTCTTGATTCCACTAGTTGCGTTTTACCTGACATAGCCGTCAAACAGGTTGATCCCTTGCTTGACATTCGCATCACTTCAGCTTCTGTATCTAAAGTAATTTCCTGCTTAGACTCTTCAACAGCTTGTGGTCCTGACAACATTCCTGTTGTAGTCTTGCAGAGGTGTTCTCCGGAGCTTTCATCCATACTTTCTAAACTATTTAACAAGTGCTTATCAGAGTCTTGTTTTCCATCATGCTGGAAAGCAGCATCTGTTATCCCTATTTTCAAAAATTCCGGAGAGCGATCTGATTCATCTAACTACCGTCCCATTAGTCTTCTTCCTGTCATAAGCAAGGTTTTTGAATCTTTAATCAACAAACACTTAATCTCTCATCTTGAATCAAATAACTTACTTTCTGATCATCAATATGGACTTCGGTCTCCTCGTTCTACAGCTGATGTGCTAACAGTAATAACCGATAGGTTTTACCGTGCATTAGATAGAGGTGGAGAGGTTAAGGCTATCGCACTTGACATTTCTAAAGCTTTTGATAAAGTTTGGCATGCTGGTCTTCTCCATAAGCTTTCTTCTTATGGTGTAGCTGGTAACGTCTTTAAGATTATTGAGTCCTTTCTTTCCAATCGTAGTATAAAAGTTGTCCTCGATGGACAACACTCTTCTTCACATCCTGTAACTTCAGGGGTTCCTCAAGGTTCAATCCTTGGCCCTATACTCTTTTTAATTTACATTAACGATCTTCCAGATATTCTCACATCTAAGGTGGCATTATTCGCTGACGACACTACCATTTACTCTTGTCATGATAAGAAGCCTACACTCTCTGATTGCTTGGAGGGGGTATCTGAGCTTGAAAAGGATCTCACTTCTGCTACAGCATGGGGCTCACAGTGGCTGGTGAACTTTAATTCAGATAAAACTCAATTTTATTCGGCCAATCGTTATCGTAATAATTTAGATCTTCCTATATTTATGAATGGTAATGTACTAGATGAGTCATCTACCATTCATCTTCTAGGATTAACTCTTACTTCTGATCTTTCTTTTAAACCGTATATCAAATCCATTGCAAAATTAGCATCTGCTAAGGTTGCATCTCTTTATCGAGCTCGACACTTTCTTACTCCGGATTCTATTCTCTATCTCTATAAATCTCAAATCCGTCCCTGTATGGAATACTGTTGCCACATCTGGGGCGGATCTTCTAATGATGCTCTTTCTCTTTTAGACAAGGTGCAAAAACGAATTGTAAACATAGTTGGACCTGCTCTGGCAGCCAATCTCCAACCTTTGTCACTTCGTCGTAATGTTGCTTCTCTTTCTCTTTTCTACAAATACTATAATGGGCACTGCTCTAAAGAGCTAGCGTCCCTTGTGCCATCTACTAAAATTCATTCTCGTGTTACTCGCCATTCAATTAAGTCTCATCCTTTTTCTGTGACTGTTCCTAAGTGCTTCAAAAACTCTTATTCTTCTAGTTTTTTTCCTCGAACATCAGTTCTTTGGAATTCGCTTCCTTCATCTTGCTTTCCTGATTCATGTAATTTGCAATCTTTTAAGTCATCAGTCAATCGTTATCTTGCTCTACAGATTTAGTCTTTTCTCTTCCAGTAACTTCCAACTCTTATAGTGGTTGCTTGCAGCCTTGTTGGAAGTGAAGATGTTTAAAAAAAAAAAAAAAAAAAAAAAAAAAAAAAATTTGAATTTCAAAACAACTGAGATGGCTTATTTGTTCAAAAAAATAATAAAAGACTTTATTATATCTTATCTAATATTTAATATTATGACTACTAATTCCTTTATTGTAGGTATTATTAAATGACATAAGCATGAAAAAAATAGCAAAAATGCCATGAAAACATAATAAAATATCTATAGTGTTTCAATTAAATGTTAAATAATTTTCTGTTATCAACTTATTCTAGGTATTTTTTCCAGTTTAAATAAACTAATAAGGAATTTAAATATAATTATTTAAAAGAGTTACATATAAGAATGCTTGGTTATGTTTGCTTTAACAGAACAGTTGTTTATGTCGAAGCTAAGCTTATTAGGAGCCTGATCATGGTTAAGTGTTAAAGGTAACCTAATGGGAAGTTAAAAAATAAGGAATAATCTCATATTTATATTTAGAATTATAAAATACTTTTTTTATTTATTTACAACAAGTTTTTAATGTTAAAGTTTTTAAAATTAAGTATATAAAAAGTAAATATTATCACATTATTTTTTTAGAGGGAAGCTGATTTTTTTCCAATTAATAATACTCCTTTACAATCACCTGTGAAGTTTGAAAAGCATAAAAATAGAGAAACGAAATTTAGTAGTCCATTAACAGTAAGTAATCGACAAATAAGCATAGAGGAATCAATTTTCTCTCCATCAAAAACAGTAATTCAGGTATGTTTTAATTTAAATAAATATTCTTTTTAAAACACATGTTCAAGTGAAAAGAAAAGTTTCCCATAAAATTATTATAGTCAAAACTTACAGTGAAAAAATTTTACATTACTTTGTTTCATTGTGATAAATTTCTGACATACAGCTTTTATATTTTTTCAAAATGAGTAAATGGTTTATAAATTCGTAAATAAATTTAAAAAAATAAAATAGATTTAGTAGACCTTGTTTGTATTGGTTTCTATTTTTGTAAAAATTTTAGTTGCCTGGTGTTGAGGAATTCGAAGGGAATGATTTTGGACCAGCTCAAGCTGAGTTTTTGCACGACTTAAATTTTGATCATGCCCCATTGTTGAGGTAGATATTAATTATAATTTAATTTGTTTTTTGATACTTAATCATATATTGTATATATAAGGATTTATTTTGCAATTTATCTGTCTAATGTTTTAATCTATACAGTTTCAAACAATTCTAAAAGTATTGATCAACAGCATGAAAAACAATTAAGTAAACACCTATACTTTATATACAACTATTATGCAACAAAGAAGCAATTGCAATAGCATTTGCAATGTTTATTATGTAACAGCAATCAAAATTGAAAAAAATTATAATTTCAAATTGGTTGTGTGCTTTTGGTATATTCTGGCCCATTTTGGAGTAATGGTTCCCAATATCAATGTAATTTTTTGCAAAAGGTTATTATTTTACTTAAATTCATTACATCTTGCTGGATCTTTTTTCCTTGGCTCCACCGCACAATGTTTGATAATCATTCTTGGATGATTTGCTTTGTAAAAATAGAGCAAGTGCTTTATTATTACTATAGAAGTTACCCTGCTGTACTTCTCCCTCTTCTTAACTATTAAGTAAATTTCAATGCCTTTACATTTTTTAATCAACCATCTTTAGATGCATTTAGCAGCACACAGCAGCTCATCTGAGGACTTTTGATCGCACTGTTTCTTCAATTATCTTTTTTTTGTCAAATAGGATCCATGAGAAAATTCCCCTGTAGGTCTTCCTCTTCTTGTAAATTAATGAGACATTTAAACATTTCAACTAATTTCTTAAAAAAACATTAGGCCATTAAGACTAGGCACTCATATTTATAAATATTTATGACTGACAACTAATCTTAAAAAAGGATGTAGAAAATAAATAACATTTAAATACTGGTGTCTACAAAACTACATCTACATAGAATACATATAACACTAAATGATGATTATATACATACATTGTTAGTTAATTACCAGGATTAACAGGTAGAGCTGCAAGTTGAATATTCTCCTTAGACTTGACATCACTAGTGTTTATACAAAAGTTTGTTTATAGAACATTAGAAGTTTTCTAAAGCAAATACTTTTAATTACAAATTGTATTTATATTTATTTTGCTTATTTAAATTTTTTTCCTAAGGAAATATGATTTTAAAAAACTAAACGGTAGCAAAGCCAGGACCAGATATGCTTATGTTTTTATTTGAATAGTTTATTAAATATGTTTATTAAATGCTTATTGAATTTGTTTATTAAATACTTATGTTTTTAATTCAAATACAAGACGTAAAACTATTTTGTTAATTTTACAAATATTATGCAATATAATATATGTAAATATATTATGTAATGTAAATATTGAATAAAAATTGTTTAAAATATTTTTAATTATTATTTTAAATTATATTTACTAAAATATGGTTAATAACTGTTTAAAATACTTTAAACATTTTCAATATTTTTTACTGATAGCGTGGTATATGCAAAAAATGCGTTTATTATAATCTTAAGTAAAATAGTTTTCTTTTAGCTAAAGTAACATCGCCCACCAGTAAGTTCATGTATTTAAAAAATGCCTTTAAATCACCACCTTATTATAGGTTTAAACTGAATAAGATAAATAACATAAATGATTATTAAGAAGATGATAATTAAAAATTATTGTTGCGACACCCATTTAACTAGAGGAGAATGAGGGGGAAATCAAAAGCATAATCCTCCCCCCCCCCCTCCCTCAATGTATCTGGAAAAAAAACAGTATCCCCAAATAAACTCTAGGCTCTTCACTGTTAAGTGTTAGTTAAAGTACTAAAGTGTGGTTTTTTTAATTTCATTGCCCTTTTACTCCCCTCCCTCCCCCCCCCCCCCCGACCTTTTCCTTTAAGCTTTTTGCTAAATTCTAGGTCTATGTGCGCTGTTAGTAATTATATGTAAAAAAATTCCTTTTTTTAAATAAAATTTGAAAATGTTTCAAAAAATATTTATTAAAAAATTGAATTGATTAAAAAAAGCAATATTATGTACTTATTAAAAATAATATTTTAATAAGTACATAATATTGCTTGTTTTGGCTTCAGAAAAATATTGGAAGAAATTTATGTTAAAAAAGATATTTAATGTTTTTATTTATTGCCTGTTAAAAAAATATAAGCCCTCTATTTTCAAGCTTGATTTTTTTTGAGTATTTGCTGTTTAGAACAAAGAAGACTTTGTGATTTATAAAGATTTTTAGTTAATTAGCAGTGGCATAGGAAGGTCAAGAATGTTAGGGGGGACTGAAACGGAATTAACGTGTTAAGATAGCCGTACTCAGAATTTAAATGGATAAAACAAAAATTCTCCGAAAGTTGAGGGGCTATTGTCCCCTCTGCCTCACAACCTCTGTTTCTACTTCACTGAATTAGTATTTATAATAGCGCATCGTATTTTTAATTTTTTAAACTGAAAAAATTCTATTGAAGATTGTTTGAAGAATGTTTCTTTTAATTAAAATATAAATAAGAATTAGGTGTATAACTATCATTTTTATTTTTATTATAACTGTTTTTTTCATTTAATCAATATTCTTAACAGTAGCCTAAATTTTTATCATGTTTATTTTAATTAATAACAAATGTTTGTCTTTTTTTGTGTTAGACCAAACTACAAAAAGAGGTTAGCTCCGTTGTTTGAAAATGAAGAGGATTTAAATTTAACAAAAAACAAAAAAGGTATCATTAACTGCAAAATTATTGCAGTTTTTTTATTATGGATACTCTTTTTTCTATAGAAAATATACTTTATTTCACTGTTTTTTAATATTTTAATTATTTTGTAACAAATAAGTAGTTTTAAGTTTTAGTTTTTTTAATATCAATTTTAAAATTAAAAAAAGACATGCTGTTCTTGAGCATTTCATCTCAATTTTTGATCATGGTTATAACATTATTTTTGGCTGCTGTTGAAATCACTTCACAAAAAAAAGGAAAATGAAAAAGAAAAATGTTGGAATCAACTGTCCATTTTTTAAAAATGTATTTGAAACAGATTCAGCCTCGATACTGGCAACTCTTCAAAAGTTAAATCCTAGTCCTTTTATTCAACTTTTTGCTGTAGACTCTTGTGAATGCTAAATTATATTTTGAAAGAACAAGTTTTACATTAATATTAACACAGCATTCTTTGATTAGTCATGCTAGCTTTTTTAATTTTTTTCAGATTGAAATATCACCTGTTAATATTTCACCCATCACATTAGACTTCAATCTTGATTTTGTAAAGGCATCAGAAACTCAATGGAAAACAAATCACAGAGTCTGTAAAAATAGTCACTATTTAGTTTCTGTATCAAAGTTAAATTCTTTGCATCACAATGTTAAACTTTGTCATATTTATATAAACATCTAGCATCATGGACAGTAGTTTCATCAATTTGAATAAATGAATCAAGTGATAAAAAATTTTCATCATATACACTTTTTCCTTAATGCCGTGCACAGCCCAATCACCACAGCTGGATTGCAACATCCCACCTCAGCGTAGATTTTTTGAAGTATGCATTTCACTTTCTTATCACTAATATAATTGTCCCAATCTTTCATCAAGTTTTTTTAAAAAGGCTTATCTACTTGTAACTAACCACAAACTCTTAAATAACCTATTAACACTCTAACTGATCTAATCCTGTAGTTCATTTTTATATTGTTTTTAAGCATATTTCAGTATACTTCACAACTTTGTTAAACAGTTAGTAAGAACTTTTTCATTTTTCATTTTCCATTCAATATCGTCAAGACTAAATCATCTTTTTTTTGATTTCAATTTTTCAACTTTATTTTTGTTAAAGATTTTCTTTCTGTTCAAGTCTTATCTTTGTTCAAGACTTTATCTTTGTTCAAGTCGTTTCACAATAACTAGACTCTTTTTGATTTTTAGAGGAAAAATTAAATTCTTAATTAGCTTAATGAAACTCAATCCCAGTATTATATTAACTACAAATGAATGAAAATCTACTGAAATAACTCTGTCATATCCTTAGATACTGCCAACATCTAGAGTCACAGTTGCTGATCCAATACATACATTTTCTTTAAATTTTACTAACTTAAGTGAGACTATGCATATATTTAGATATTAAAACAATAAGTTTTTATTTAATGTTGTTTCTTAAACATCTTTTGTCTACCGTAGCTGCTGCTACTTAACCATTATCTTATAAATGAATGAAATGCTTTGTTGTTTGTAGTTTAATGGCAAATAAAAACCTTACATCAAGATGTTTTTTCTTTAATAAATTAAACTTTTTACACAATTTCATATCAATTTATATTAAATAAAAATCTCCTTATTTCCTTTATGGTCTATAGTTGGAATTCACAATGGAATTAGACCCAAAGGGCACAAAATGTCTGCTGAACATCTTGAGGACAAAAGCAGGAGCAATTGCTCTCAATTGCTGACCACAGAAGTAATATTTAGTTGCAAAAAGCTGGCCAGATTTTTTAGTCGTTTTGAGAACATTTCAAAAACCCAAAAAAAAATGTGCGAAAGATTAAATGGACCAATGAGAGACAGTTACAAAAAAAAAAAAATTAGGAAAATAGAATATCTTTTAACATGAAAAAACTTAAAGCAAAATAAATTTACTATTTTATGTTTCTCATAGTTTGAAAAGTTAAACATATTTGAAACAATTTTTCTAAGTAAGATAAACAAATAAAATAATTAAATCTTTGAATTACTATTGAAATTAAATTAACTAGGTAGAAATTAACTAAAAAGGTTAAAAATACTGTTTGACGAGGAAGCGAAACTGCTTCACAATATTGTTGATGATGTTTAGTGAATGGGCTTTTTAATTTTAATTAGTATTTAAAGTAAAAATAAGTATAACAAGTTTTAAGAATGGCAACTGAAGCGAAATTAATTAGATTAAGTAAACCAATATCTAGAAACTTTTCTTTCTAATAACTTGCTATATATATTTGTGTTCTGTCGTGACCTCAGGCGCGGTGATTGTTCATCCGTGAGTTACTTTGTATGCATTGTTTGCATTTAGTAACCAGAAACTTTTTATGTTTGTCACATAATTAGTTTCATTAACTTTATTGATTATTAACTTCCTTGAAAACACAATTATTTTTTACTAAGTGTTTGTTTACTAATTAAATCGATAAAAAGCAGATACACAAAATAACATTTACATAAAAAGTACATACTTTTTAAATAAAAAATAAGTATATACTAATAAAATCTATAATTTATAATAAACTTAAATTTTGACAATTTAAATAATATATATTTAAAACATTTATTTTTGTAAAGAAATAATAATAGTTTATAAGATTTATGGTTTTTCAGATGTTCCGAGAATGAGACATAGAATTGATATATATTCTTAAAACAATTTATGGTGGAAATCTCAAAACCTAACAAATCGTGAATAATACAATTTCTAAATCATTTCAACAGAATACTCTAGAACTTTATTTTGCTTAGTCAGCACATTTTTTAAATCAATAGAATTAGTTTGTTCGTTAATTTGGCGGGTTTTTAGAGTACGCGAATATTCTTTTTATTCTTCCGCACCAAAATATTTTGAGAACACTCAAGTTTTTTATGTTTCCATGTATGTCTGTAAAACAAAAACTTTTTGTTTTGTACATGAACTTGAATGTTCTCAAAACGACTAAAAAACTTGTCCAGTTTTTTGTAACTAAATATAATATTCCGTGGTCAGTATTCGAGAGTGATCGCTCCTGCTTTTTTCAATGTAATTTCAATGTAAAAAAAAGTCAAAGCAATTAAACTAATTTTATCGTTTTTAAAAAAACCACAATAATAATGACTAAAAAGTTTTTTTTTAATCAGTGGTGTTTTAGTTTTTGTTTTATCAAAATGCATTTTTAAAACATGCGAAGAGTGTTGCTACTTCAATTATCTTATAGTCTGCTGCTACAAGGGAGTGTTGCTACATCACTATCTTATAGCCTGACTCGCAACGGAGTGTTGCTACATCAACACTATCTTATAGCCTGACTCGCAACAAAGTGCTGCTACATGAAAATATCTTATAGCCTCATTCACAAGGGAGTGCTACTACATCAACTGAGGTTTTGGTTTAAGCATTTAGGAAAAAAAAAATATATATATATATATATATATATTAATATATATATATATATATATATATATATATATATATATATATATATATATATATATATATATATATGTATATATATATATTTATATATTTTAACATATATATATATATATATATATATATATATATATATATATATATATATATATATATATATATATATATATATATATATATATATATATATATATATATATATATATATATATGTATATATATTATATACTCTTGCATAGTCGTTTTTAAGTTTTTACCATAAAATGTCAGTTTTAGGTTGTTTTTTTTTAAATTTATTTTAAAGACCAGAAAAACTTTTTTTCAATTATTATTATTTGATGACTCCCTGCAATCTCTTCGTTGCAAGTCAGGCTATAAGATAGTCCATGTAGCAAGACTCCCTTGTTAGTACTACTCAAAACTTATCACCTCATAAGCAAAAAGTTTAAAGTTAAAAATGACAACCACTCTAAAGAAGCAGAAATAAAAACAATACACAAATTATTTAAATTATAAATATATATTTTTTAAATTTATTTTAAGTTCTTATTTTGTTAGGTTTGGTTTCTTTGTTATTGACACTTTTTTTCCAATGTGCTTAATATAATTAAAGTTGCAAATCAAAAACTATAAAACGCAAAAACAATTGTCTTCACTAAGTTGTGGTGATGTCATCCAATTACTGTTTTTGTTCCTAGTGCTCAAAAAATTATTGTTTATCTAGTGTTTTTCCTTGTACATCAGTCCTTTTGAATTCGCTCCCTTCTCCTCATTTTTCTGATTCGTAGAATTAGCAATCTTTTAAGTTGTCTATTAATCATTATCTTGCTTTATGAACTTCATCTTTTCTCTTCCAGTTTTCCAACTCTAGTAGTAGTTGTTAGTTGGAAGTGAAGATGTTAAAAAATACTTTATATTTTTTATATATGTTTTCATTTTTTGCTTTTTCTAAAGATGCTAATTGTTTTTCTAATCACTGATTTTGATGCTTAGGCATCAAAATCAGTGGTTAGAAAAACAATTAGCATCTTTAGAAGTTGAAAAATTAAACAAACAATTTTATTTCTGTATTTCCTTGCGCTGATTTTGTTTTAATTGTATAGTTACATTTAAATACATTTAATCTTTTAATTTTTTAAATTGCTTTATTAAAATATTAAAGATTTAGAAATTCTTTAGATTACTTTGAAAATGTTGACAGAACACTTCTTAGATCACCACAAATCCAAAGAAAAGATGACTTGAAAACTCCTTTAGCTGACACATTTCTTCCTCTGGAAACTGATATTGATGGGCTTCATAATGAAACTGATTATGTTACTACCCTTCCCACCAATTTCGCTGATGAAACTGAAGTTGCAACTGTTATGGTGGAAAAGACTGTTAAGGGAGTATGATTAAATATAAATTTTATTATAATTAAAGTTGTAAGTGCAGATCTTTTAAAAAAAATTTGTATATCAGCAAAATTACTTATTATAAATGCTGCATTTAGAACTCTGTTCTATGGTTGTAAAAAGTTCATTAAAAATGCAAAGTATACTAAATATGAACTTCCTCTTCATGAAGCATTGAAAAAGTTCTTAATCCTAATTTAATGTGAAGAGGTGGCAAATCTTTAGTCTACAAAAGGTTAATGTTCATTATGCTTGCTTACTGCTCAACACAAATTTAGAAGGCCAAGCTTTGTAATCACAACTGTTTTAAAAGCTGACATCCCTAGAGATGTAGGAAACACATATACTTAATGCACCCTTTCTGTATTCCCAAAAGAAGGGCAGCTATTTTGAGATCTCCTCAAATATTCTAGGTATGTTTTTTGTAGTAACAAGGAGCATGCCATAATTATCAATATATCAAAATTAATGCTGTCATAAAGTTATTTCTTTTATTTCTACAACATTCGCAATGGAATGGCTCTACATTCCCATTTTGGAACAAGATTTTTAGGGATCTAGGTTCTAGGGATAAATTTATAAGAAAGGGGTTGATCTATTTGATCAAAAACATCATTGAAAAGATTTTTTGTTCCAAGTAGCTTTTGTGTTAGTCCAAAAAAACATATTGTGCAGCAAATATAAGGTGGCCTAACTTTTATACTGATCACCAAGTTTAATGCCAAAGTAATTTTAATATGCATCTATAAGTCTCTTGACTAAATTTTTTAAAGTAAACTTTCCATAAGTGTAACAAAAAATTTTCTTGATCATAAATGTTTGGCTTGTTTCTTTTTATTTAAAGATATCCCCAAGTGCCATAGCAAGTTGTGTTCATATTTTGAATAATCCTCAAAAAATAAGTTTCATGCTAATTCAACTTTTCAAAACAAATTAATTATGAAGATATCAACAAACTTTACAATTTTTGTTTATTGTTTTATTTCTCTAATATTTCTGTTAATAATGGGATTTTCTTTTGAATGCAAAACAAAATTAAAAAAAAAGAGTTAATTAATTTTCATATCCAAAAAAATAATTAACAATTTCATTTTAACAAAAGAAATAAGAGAAAAATACACCATACAAACAATCTTACAAAAAAAACTTTATGTAATAACTATATTTTATAATATATTGAAAAACTTTCTGCATTTAAGTGAGTAGTTTTTTTACTTCCTAAAACAAAAAATTTTTGTAATTAACTAGCATTAGCTTTTTTTTACTAACAACACTCATTTTTTTGTTTCAGAAAAAACAGAATTGGAATTGTAATCTTGTTACTCCTGCAGAAGCTATTATTTTAAAACCAAATGCTAGCAACCCAAAAAGAAAACGAAAACTTTTTGTTGATGATGAAATTGCGTTAAGTAGTCAGCAAATTAAAAGTAACTTAGCAACACCAGATACACTTTTAAAAACACCGGTATGTTATAAATATTTGAGACTTAAAATGTTCCTATATTTTATTATATACTATAACTGTACTTTGTTATTTCATTCTCATTTTCTGCTCAAAATATGGTATAATTTTTCTTTGTACATATTTTTGTTTTATGAAACTTTTACAACAATTTTATAATTTTTTTTTTTTACTTGTGTAATTTTTAGTCCTAATTTAGTTATATCCATGGTTACATGGTATGTAAAACATCTAATATTTAAATAGATTTGAAAAATAATATATTTTCCTTATACATGTTTTGTAAAAATCTATATATTAGTATTGTATGTTGTTAAATAAAATTTAATTAGTTAATTAATTTAATTACATATTTTATCTTTAAGTTTGTAAATCTCAAAATACTTGACAATTTTTTTTTTGCAATGTTAACACTGCAAACTTCTTATCTTTTCATATTTTTAGTATTGAAGCATTAATGTTGACTTGTAGAGCCAGTAACAACCTACACCAAAGTACAATAAACATTGTAGCCACCATTACACTGAAAAATTAATTTTTAATGTACAAGATTGTAGTTTTTTACTAATGCCCATCAAACATTCTTTTGTCATGTTTCTGATTGTTTCAAATATTCGGCAATAATTTTATAGAATAAAGCCACATTAGAGTTACAAGTACTACTTATGTTGCATTATTCATTGACTGTTTATTGTTTGATTATTTTCTCTTTAAACTTTCTATATTTTCTATTCTATAAACGGCTTTACCATCTATATCATGAAAATTTGTCAAATTTCCCATTTGGCATGCGCTCTGATCTGGAACTTAAATTAACTCTTTCCTGCAAGAATCCTCCTAATAAAATAAAATTTCATGAACCCCCTGATTACCTCAAAAACTTATTTAAAAACATGAACAATGTTTTTAATCCAACAACCAATTGCATTTACCATGACATTAATAAACTAAATAAATCTATTAATCCTGGTACAGAAATTTATCTTCATCTAAATATTTCTTGTTTTCCATTTCACATAAATGATCTCTCCAGCTTTGTTGGTACAATTAATACTCCTCCCATGGTGATAGGAATTACTGAGTCTAATTTATATGCAGAGGATTCTAATATAACTGACATTACCATACAAGGATATAACATTGAGCATTGTCCATTAAAGTCAAAAAAAAGTGGTGTGCGTCTTTACCTAAATTCAAATCTTAACTACATAGTTTGTAATGATCTCCAAATTTCTAGATTCTATTTTTGTTAAAGTTATATATCCACTTAAAAGTAATACTATTTTTAGATGTATATATCAGCATCCCTCTTTAAACATCACTGAATTTTTATCTATCCATTTTAATCCTCTCATTGAAAAGTCAAGTCATGAAGCAAAAAATATTGTACTAATGGGCGATTTCAACATAAATTTATTGAATCTTTGTGCTCTCATTCCTTATTTCCAACCATAGTTCTTCCAACATGTTTAACCGCAAAAACTAAAACCCTTATTGGTAACATATTCATGAATTCATTTCCTACTGATATAGTCTCTGATAATCTTAGAACTTCAATATCTGACCACATGGCACAATTTGTCTGCATTCCTAATGTCCTATTGGGGCCCATATGGGTTTGCCCAAGTTGGCCCTATGTGGGCTATATGCATGGACCCCATGTGGGCTAGCCCTTGAATACAAAATTTTGTATTCAAGGGCTAGCCCGTATGAGGCCCATTTAGGGCCCATATATGAAGTTAAAAAAGCATTAAATTCCATCTTATTTTGTAAATTTAAATGCTATCCGATGGTACGCGTGCGTACCATCGGATAGCATTTAAATTAGCAGAGTATTTCATACCATTTCATGGTATGAAATACTCTGCTAAGCAATTAGCTGGAAGAGTATAAATCACTATACCGAACTTACTTTATGAAAACCCCTACGTTTTACGTTTCTCAAATGTAATTACATCTCAAAGCTTTTCTCAAATTTTAAGCTAAATTCAATTTAACTCTTTTTCCAAAAATCTTCTTTTCATTTTAAGTCAAATCATTTTAAAGACTCCGTAATAGTGCTATCAATGTCATGTATTAGTGGTACTAAAAGAGTTTTAAATTGTATTTGAAAATTTTTTTTTTTTATGTATAAAAAGTTTTTGAAAGTGTATACACTATTTGAGTTTTTTGCCCACAAACAAAAATCTATATAAAATGAGATGTCTTGAAGAGGTCGTTTTACATAAAGTCTTAATTAAACTTATTTAAAAAAAGGTTTGAATTTACTTATTTATATAAGACAGTTACTTTTACTAATTTATTATTTAAATACTGTGGTATATTTATAAATGTTTATTATTGTTTACCTTATTCTTTCTATGTTTGATTTCCTGTTTTACTTTTATAAAGCTAGACTCATGTGACATTTATGACTACATATTAAATTATATGTATTTAATTTAAAAATAAATAAATAATTATTCAAAATATTATAAAAAATTTAAATAAATAAAAAAGTGGAACCCATGTGGGTCCACCATATGCAGCCCATATGGGTTGCCCACTTAGGCCCTGATTCACCCCCTGCAACAGTTTTCCTTGAGCGAGATGTGGGCAACCCACTTGGGCCCAATATGACTTGCTGGCTGGGCTTTTACTTGGAACTTATATCCAACAAACTATATATTGAATTCATTGCAAAAGCATCTAAAATTTCCTCATTTTGTTCATTTCCTCAGTTGTTTTTTTTTTAATTTTTTTGTTTATAGTTCTCTTTATTGTCTTTCAGTTTTTAAATATATTACATGATTTTACAATTGGAGTTTTTTAAAAAAATGAAGGCTTCATTAGAAGAAGCAGTCCAATTATGATAATAATGGGTTGTTCAGAAAGTCCTTTCCATTTTTTGTAACAGATGTTTTTATTGATGTTTTTAATGTGTGAATATTCCAAATATTAAACTTATTTTATCATTTAATAGTATGGACTAATGTGAACTTAAAGAAATTCATTCAACACAACTCATCAACATATTCAATATGTTTTTGAACGAAATTAAATTGATCCATTTTTAAAGCGAACGACATCTGTCAATGAATTAGCATCTAACAAAACAATCAATTCTACTGTATACTTTAAACAAATATAAAAAAATTGAATGATTCCTTGAAACTGAAGTGTCCAGAATTTGTAAATTATAAGGGTGTTGTGTTTCACCATGTTAATGCACAACTATGTGCTTTTTTAAAAACTCTCAAAAAATTATTGGAAATTGGCTGGGATGTACTTCTTTGCCTCCCTTAAATAGTTGTACTCCATTAGACTACCATCTGTTTCATTACAAAATTCTTTAACTGAAAAAAGATTAATGTTTGGTGAGTTAAAACATCCTATAGGATTATTTTGTTTAAAAAGATAAGAAGTTTCATGAATCTGGTATTATGAAATTACCGGAAAGATGGCAACTCATAATAGAACGATCTATATATTAGAGATTAAATTTACCTTTTGTAAAAGAGTTTTGTTTTTCAATTTTAAAGTTAAAAACCAAAAGGACTTTCTGGACAACCAAGTAGTATTCAACAATATTTAGTTAAATAAGAGTTTTGCACAGATAGAGTTTTGTATAGGTAGAGTTTTGTCAAAAAAACCATATGAAAAGAGCTTATTGAGAAGACCAGCATGCCAGACTATTATCTCACCACTTTCTCACTGCTTCCATACAATAGAATGTTATTGCTATTGTGTATAAGGAGTAATAAGATTGATATATGTATTGAATGTCAGTTTTTAAACTCAAGATATTAGTAGACATTAGATTTTGTTAGTTAGAGATTCAAAAACTTTGCTGATTAGGCAATAGAGGATCAAGGTGATATCCAGAATTTTTAAAAACGGAGCACAGATGCCATTTTTCAGCAGGCAGGAAAATGAAGAGAGTTCTTTTGTTTTATTTTTAAACACTTTTGTAAGACTATAAAAGGATTTTTGTCTGGACCACAAGCTGTAGAAAAGTTTATATGAAAAATAACATTTGAGAATTACAACAGAAGCCAGAAAATTTGTTTTCATATAGTGAATGATTTGGGTGTCTAACATTGGGTTAACCTGGAATAGCAGAGCCAAGACAAATCAAGGAGTGAAGATAAATAATTAGGGTTGTCTGGAAAATAAGTCGCAAAGTTAACTATCTGAGTATTAGATCGAGAAATACAGAAGTCGCAAGCTTTAGTGCCAGCAGGATCAGTGGTTTTAGAGCCAGAAAAACATTATACTGAGTTAGTCATTTGTTGTCATTTGCTTAAAATTTTTTTAAAAAAGGAACAGGGCATTTTATCTTTTTTTTAAGTTTGTTGTTAGGTATTTATTTTATATACAGTTATTATTTTATTTTATATATTATTTTATATGTTATTCACGATTTTGATAAAGAGAAAATAATCAACGCTAAAACATTCTTATAATGTTGTAATTTTGTTATGTTAAAGATGCTTATAACATGATTAAACATGCCTCTAAGTTATTTTTAGTCTTCACAAGTATGTCTAACTATTTTCTTTAAAAGTTTATAAAAATTAATATTATTAACAAAAACAGATCATTCCATCTCTCATTCATGGTACTGATCTTATTACCTCTCCCAAGGATAAGGCTGAACTATTTGCAAATAATTTTTATTCTAATTTGACTCTTATGATCATACTCTTCCTTTCATTCAAGTTAAACAGGTGAACATTCTGACCCCTCCAACCAGTCTTCTATCTGTTATTAACAAGGTATGTTAAGCTGCTAAATGGTTTTATTGTGCAATATATGAAGATGGTAAGAAATGGCTATTTCTTTGGATATATTTAAAGCTCTCAATAGGTTTTAAAATGCTAATAATTTTCATAAGCTTGCTACATATGGTATATCTGGGAAAGTTTCTGAGATTATCAAATCATTTCTTTTAAGCTGCTTTATTAAAGTCATCCTTTTCATTTCCAGTAACTTTTGGGGTGCCTCAAAGTTTTTATTGTTGGTGCTGCTTTTTTTCTTATCTACATTAATGATCTTCCTGACAACCTTACATCTAAAGTGGCTGTATTTGCTGATGACTGAATTTTGAACTGCTGTCTTGAAAAAAAATCTTTGTTTTTTGATTGCTTAGAACAGTCAGTTGATTTTGAATCTGATCTCACTTTTGTAACAGATTGGGGCTTGTAATGACTTGAAAATTTTACATCCAACAAAACTCAGTTATTTACTGCAAACAACTATCACAACACTGTTGACATTCCCATATTGATGAATTGCTACCCTCTCACAGAGTCCTCTTCTTTACATCTTTTTGGATTATTGATTACTACTAAACTCTCACGGAAACCATATATATAATTGATTGCTAAGTTAGAATTGGCTTAGGTTGCTTACTCGTTTCATTCCTGATTTTTCTTCATTTAGTAAAGTCTCATTTTTTTACTGTGTTTGTACCTGCATGCTCTAAAAACTTTTATTCGTCTAGTTTTTTTCCCCGTGCTTTAACCTTTATGTAGTCTCTCCCATCTTTGTTATATATATATATATATATATATATATATATATATATATATATATATATATATATATATATATATATATATATATATATATATATATATATATATATATATATAGGTGGAGAAAAATTTTTTTTGTATAAGTGTTTCTAAGCAAACCCTTGTCAAGAATGCATGCTGCACATAAATTATTGTTGATTATATTTATATTGTCAAGTAGATTTTTTTGATTATATTTTATTGAATATGTAAATAATTCAAATTTATATCATTTATGATATACAGTATATATTAAAAATGTTTAATTAACATATATTTTTAAGTGCCTATTTATTGGCATTTTCTAATGCTGTTAAATGCTTATTTTATTAGTTATAAAGTTTTTTTTTTTCTTTATGCTTTTTGTATTTTTGTTGTTATTAATAATATTTATGTAATTTTTCAAAACTATAAAATATCAAAGCATCTTAATTAATTGGATTGACTTAGTGATTGTTTAATTATTGTTATGCCATTTTGTTTTTAAAAGTATTTACACATTAAATATTTATTAGAATTTCTTATAAATATTTAATGTGTAAATACTTTTAAAAACAAAATGACAAACAACCATTAATCAATCACTAAGTAAATACACACACACACACATACACACACACAGGTATTAAAAATTTTATTATTAGAGTTGATAAGTTAGTTAGAATGCTTATTAATTTTATCTATAGATTATTGCAGGAACAGCACTTCCAAATGCCAAATCACTTTTCCTATGTCCATCATTTATTAGTATGTAGCAAAATTAGTATAATTATCAGTTTATTTGTTTATATATGTTTAAATTGTTTAAATCTTTTAGTTATTTTTAAATTTCTTAGTTACTTTTTAGATAATGTTTAAAGTAAATTTTAAATTTTAGATTTTATATATTTTACAAAATTTAGTTATAAAATTCTAGATAGTTACAAAAGTTTTTTAAGTTACAAAAAATTATAAATTTAGTAGTTGAGTTTTTTTATAAATAAAAACTTTTTTTTTTTAAAAAATCTTAATTTATAAATAAAAGAAAATATTTTTTTGTAACATAAAAATTGTTTAAATAGTTGTAAAAATTTAATTATAATTTCAATAATAATATGCTTAAAAACCAGGGATGCAGAGTCCCAAAAATGACTCCGGATTTGAAAGTCACAATAAAATTACTTTTTTTTTTTTTTTTTTTTTGTTTTATTTGCATTCACTCCCAACAAGGCTGCAAGCAACCACTATTAAGTTGGAAGTTACTAGGAAAAAAAAGAACAGAGTTATAGAGCAAGGAAACGGTTGACAGAAGACTTGAAAAGTTGAAGGTTGTATGAGTCAGGAAAACATGAAGATGGGAAAGAGTTCCAAAGGATTGAAGTGCGGGGAAAAAAACTAGATGAATAAAAGTTTTTAGAGCATGCAGGGACAGATACAGTAAACGAATGAGACTTTGCTGAATGACGAGTTAAACGAGAATGAATTTTAGTTGATGGAACTAGAGATGATAACTCCTTTGAGCAGTGACCATGATAGTATTTGTAGAAAAGAGAAAGAGAAATCAATGGAAATCAATGGGAAAGAAGTTCAAGCTTAGCAGATAGTCCAGGTCCAACAACATTTACAATGCGTTTTTGGACCTTGTCAAGAAGAGAAAGTGAATCGTTAGAAGAACCAGCCCAAATATGACAGTATTCCATACAGGGACGAATAAGAGATTTGTAGAGGTAGAGAATGGAATCAGAAGTAAGGAAATGGCGAGCACGATAAAGAGAAGCAACCTTAGCAGAAGCTAATTTAGCAATTGATTGTATATATGGTTTCCATGAAAGGTCAGTAGTAAGCGATAATCCAAGAAGACGTAAAGAGGAGGACTCAGTAAAGGATTGCCATTGATTAATATAGGAATGTTGACCATAATACGGTAGTTGTTTGCAGTAAGCAACTGGGTTTTTTTAAAGTTGAAATTCACAAACCACTGTGAACCCCAATCTATTACTGAAGTGAGATCGGATTCAAGATCAGCTGCTTGTTCTAGGCGATCGAAAAGAGAAGACTTTTTGTCAAGACAGGAGTATAAAGTTGAGTCATCAGCAAAAAGAGCTTCTTTAGATGAAAGGTTGTCAGGAAGATTGTTTATGTAGATAAAAAACAAAACAGGGCCCAGGATGGAACCTTGGGGAACCCCAGAAGTTACTGGAAATAAAGAAGAGTGTTGGCCTTCAAGGATGACTTTATTAAACCGGTTAGAAAGAAATGATTTGATAATCTCAAAAACTTTCCAAGAAACACCATATGAAGCAAGCTTATGGAGAAGACCAGCATGCCAAACTTTGTCGAAAGCTTTAGATATGTTGAGAGCAATAGCCCTAGCCTCACTGCCTCCATCTAATGCAAGATAAAATCTTTCAGTTACAGCAGTTAGCAAGTTGGCCGTAGAGCGAGAGGATCGAAAACCGTATTGATTGTCTGACAGTAATTTATTTGACTCAAGATGAGATGTGAGGAATTGATCAAAGACTCAAAGACCTTGCTAATAACAGAAAGAAGACTGATCGGACGATAATTGGAGGGGTCAGAATTTTCTCCAGAGTTTTTGAATATTGGAACCACAGATGCCATTTTCCAACAAGCAGGAAAACAAGACTCAGTCAAACACTTGTTAAATAGTTTAGAGAGAATTGAAGAAAGTTCTGGAGAACAGTTCTGCAAGACTGTGACAGGAATGTTGTCTGGACCACAAGCTGTAGACAAGTTTAATTGAGATATGACTTTAGCAACAGAACTTCTTCATAGTTTTTGGTATCCAGGAGCTCTAAAAATATTTTTGGTATCCAGGAGCTCTAAAAATATAAAAAAGTTTATGGACTACTTATAGAAAAAAAAATTAAGATTTTTAGGTAAGAGGAACAATCATTTTTTGAACCCGGAGTTCTTAGGTATAATGGTGTCTTAGGTATAATGGTGGCAAGGACTCCGGGCTTAAAAACAATAAGTTCCAAGTCATTAAATTACATGAATTTTTTTCTTATAGGTGACCATAAGCCAACAAACATATTTAGAGCTTTTGGACACTACAGACCTATAAAAAATAGAGTTGTAAAGCCGGAGTTCTTTCGGGACTCCGCATCCCTGTTAAAAACCAATTAGAATTGAAAATGTAGTATTAAATCTGAATTATTAAAAGTGTATAAAATTAAAATCAGAAAAAAAAAATTGAATTCTTATTTAGGTTTATCTAAAAATAAAAAGCTAAAAACTTGGTGGGATAATAACTCTTGTTGGCAAAAGATTTCGTTAGATGATCTCATCCTAGGTGAAAAACTGAATCATGTTTCTGGTGAAACAGAGATTTTAAAAAGTCCTGAGGTATTATTTTATATAATTAAATTTTGTATGTTTTTATTTTATGGTAAAAAGTTAAATATGCATTTGTGGTTTTAAGTCTTTTAGATTTGTAAAGTATTTTTTGCTCATCCTTATTTATAAAAAAAGTTAAATTTGTTTTCAGCATTTAAGACGCGATGATGAAAGTTTAGGTAGTATAGAAATTGCTAGAAATGCATCATCCAGCATGCGATCTTTAGAACAGTCAGCCGGCAGCACTTTATTAGTTGAAAAGACACCACTAAACGATGGTTAGTTTATATTTTAGTTTTTAAATTTAAAAAAACATGATTAAACGTGTATTAAAAAAGTTAAGTGTAAAAATCTTTTTGTTATTAGATGACCCACAAATGTTGTTTGGTATGGAAAACATGATTGATTTTAATGATATGCAGCATTTTTCAAGGTAATTTATATATTATATTATTGAGTTTAATATTATATATCTTAAATAAATTTATATGCTTTTAAAATGTTTATTTAATAATATTTTTATTATTTGTTTTTTTTATATTATAATATAAATTATGTATTAATTCTACAATTTTATACTATCTACAGTATAAAGTAGCTTACATCAAGACAAAAAAGCAGTTTCAAAATTTAGTAATATTAGCTACAATTATAAAATGTTTTTTTAATTTTTATTAATTGTTATACTATATATCAGGGTGTAAATTGAGTGATCCCAAACAAAAGGCTAAATAAGTGCAAATTTTATAAGCGCAAACTGGCATAAGTGTGAAGTGTTGCAAAAACTTAAATACGAACTTATGTGTAAATTGGTATTAGTGTAACTAATGAATTTGTAAACATTGGCATAAGTGTGAACTATAAGTGCAAAGCAACTACAAAATTGGCATAAGTGCACTGAATAAAATTGCAAATATTAACATAAGTGCAAATTGGAATTTCACACTTATGTTAATTTGCACTTATGCCAATATTTTCAAGTTTATTCGGCACACTTATGCCAGTTCGCTTTTATACTGATTTGAACTTATGCCAATTCGTACTTATGAAATTTACACTTATTCAGTTGTCCAATCGCAAATTGTGAAATCTGGAAATATTTCTGGTCTTTAAATTATCAGTTTATTTAGAACTGTGAACAGTTTTAAGAAAAAGTCAGTTTGTCATATTGCAAAAATTAATAAAAAAAAAAATAACGTATTTACTACTGCAAAAATATAAAAAATTCAAAACTTACATAATTTAATTTTTTTTGTTTTTGTTTAAACACCAGGTACTTTACATAATTTGAATTAAAAAAAAATAAAAAAAAAATAATTACTTATAGTCAAAAAAATATGCAGGGTGATTTAAAAATCAACCAATAAAAGATTATTCTAAAGCTATTTGCAAATTGTATGAAACATTAAATTTGATTTTTTTTAGGGAGAAAACTTTGAAAAATTGTTCTTTTAAAATGTTTTAAATTAGAAATTAATTAATAGATAATAAAAGTAATGATAAAAACAATGTTTTCTAAAATTGGTTTTTTTGTTTAAAAAAAACTATAAGTTGTTTAAATTAGTTTTTGTTATGTTTTTAAACTACTGTCTTTAATTTTATATAAATATATGTGTTAGAGAGTTATGACATTTAATTAACGGTTATATTTGATTTATAAGAAAATATTAAATAAAATTTAAATAAGATAAGATAAAATTTAAATAAGATCTTATTTTGAAATTTTTTCATTTAAAATGTTTTATCACCGCTAAATTCCATAAGTCTGTAGTGGTTTGCTGTTGTTTCATTTTTAATATTACATTGTACTGTATGCTTTATATTTTCTTTTTTTTTCTGATGATTTATCAAATGAATTAAAATATTGAAGTTTAAATCATTATTTTTAATAAAGATAAAAATAAAAATAATATGCTTTTATAATAAGATCTTAGATCACAATTTGAAGATAAATATTTTTATTGAACAGCTATATATAGATAAGTGATATAAACAGAGTTAAAGGTTTTTAAAAAATTTAAAGACCAGAAGCATTTCCAAAATCACAATTTGCAACCACTTGATTCAAACCTTGTATATTGCTTATATCTATTAAAAATTCTTTAAATTAAAATTGCTATTAGAAGATTTTCTATTCCATTTTTGAACAGCTGGTTCAGACTTCTCTTGGGTATCTTGAGAATATGTTGTGTTTCTTGTTAAGATAGGAAGGAAAAAGAAAGAAAAAATTGATTTTTTTTGATAATATTGCAACATTCTTGTGAAATTTAAAATAAATAAAAAAACAGCATGTTTTTATTTTATTGACTAAAGATTTATAAATAAATTGTTTTGAATAAATTTTAGCCCTAGGATCTCAGGTATTGGAGCACTACCAAATGATATCATTGTAGACTTGAATGATCAACCTGGACTTGAGCCTGTTTTAGAACAAGGTAAAGCATTTTTAAAGTCAATAAAATTAAAATGTTTTTAGAATGAAAAAGTTAAAAAGGTATTAAATACAGTATAATGTCAATTTCTTATTTATTAGTAGTTTACTAAAATTTAATTAAAATTTACAAAAATTTAATAAAAATAATATTTATCATATTATGTAAGAAAACATTGTATAAATGTTTTCTCTTTATTTAATGTCTATAACAATACATGCAACTTTAATGTCTTAGGTGCATTTTTAGACATACTCATCAACAAAAAAAAACTAAAATTTTATTTTTTTATAAAAAAGTAGGCTCCTGCATTGTGTATGATGCAATGCAAATTTAATAAAAGAAATCTTCAAAAATCTTATAACCTATTTACAAAATGTAAACAAAGTAAACAAAAAACACAATATCAAAGAAAAATGATTCGGTTTTATGTTAATTTTCTCAAAAATGCAAACTTTTCTCTGTCAACTGTATTCTAAAAGTTCTCTGATATTAAGAATCTTAGTAAAATATTATTCTTAAGGTCTAAAATTTATAACTCTAATCCCTTTACTTTCCCTAGAAAAAAATCTGCAATACATCCAGCTATTTCTATTGCATTTATTTGGCAAGTAAAATGATTGATACAGAAGGAAAGAATTAGATTGATATGTGTAAACTGCAAAAATCTCTCTTCAAATGTTTTTTAAGAACATAAAGGTGCTTAATTAATAACTTGTTTAATTCATTGTTACTTTGTATTTTATTCTTATGTGGGAAAAGCATGATAGACTTGATCTTTTGATATAATATCAACAAATCCAATTTAGCTTTAAATGACTATACAGAGCTTATCATTTCAGCTATATTTTTGTCTTTTCCATGCAGTTCCAAATTTCAATTTTTATATGATGTCTGTGAGAAAACTCCAATCAATCATCCAGCAAGAGCCAGCTGGTTCATCGTAATTTTCCTTTTTATCGTTTGTGAATATTTTTATACATTCAATTATAAACATCCTCACCCCTCGTTTTTTCTTTCATTGGTAATATTTGCAATAAAAATCCACTTTAACAGTGAAGTTACTAAATACCATTCTCACCATAACTGCTAACTGTGCGGTGTCTTATATATCTGCTGACTCATCAAGTTGTAGCAAGAAACACTTACATATCAACAGTCTCTAAATGAGTTTGTATGTCTGTTGAAAGTGCATGTATTGCACTTTCAACAGACATATGCACCAGTCAGAATTACTTTAAACAATTTACCATCAATGAAAGGTTTTTTTTTTTTAGGAGCATGAATTTTGAAAGAAGCAATAGTGGCCTTTTTAGAATTTCCCACATGCCTAGTGAACAGTCTATTGTGCAGTTAGTCTTAATTTTATTTGACTTACTTTTTTAGTTCTTACTTCAGGCTCTCATCAAAAGTGGCATGGATTGTCTGAAAATGACAGTCAACATTTTTTTTTGGCAGTTCTTTAATACACAACAAGCAAACATATTTATTTTTCATATTAACAAAACAATATGATTCCTCCCAAGTTTAAAATTGCTTAAAAGTATTACTATAAAATATTTTGCATTTCATTGTTGGTTTGTTTATTAAATAAAGTTTATAAAATAAACATAGATTAACAATAGTAAATTTAATAGTTAATTAATAGATAGATTAGCATAGATTTCTTTTTTATATCTTTTCTTTTTTCACTGCATTGTATGTATGTCTGAATTAGTTAAAATAACTATACTTTTATCATTATGGAAAGTTAGTATTAATATTTTATATTTAATTTATTATATTTAATAAACAATAGTAAATTTAATAGTTAATTAATAGATAGATTAGCATAGATTTCTTTTTTATATCTTTTCTTTTTTCACTGCATTGTAAGTATGTCTGAATTAGTTAAAATAACTATACTTTTATCATTATGGAAAGTTAGTATTAATATTTTATATTTAATTTCCGTAAAGATTGTGAAAAAAGCATGCAACATTCAAATTTGACTTTAAAACCTCAACACCTGTTAAACTCGAGTAAAATTGCACAGGAAACTAATGTGTTTTTGGTTCATGTCTGAATTGTGACAAATGAATGGCTAACTTGAAAAAAGGAACATGTCACAAAAAAATTTTTTTTTTCAGAAACTAACAAAAATCTGTATTTAAGATATAAAACTGTATAATTATATAAAATTCTCAATTTTGAAAAAAATGTGACATTTGTCCCCTTTTTCAAATACAAAAGTGAAACTAGATGTGCTAGCTAGATAATAAAAAGCATTTTTGGACCTATATCAATTTAATATCATCATGGATTTTAACCACACCTGACCTTTTTCTTACTTTTCTTCTAGTGTCCTCATTTGATTTAGTTGAAATTTAGTAGAAAGTTTCATACCCATCAAATACGACATTACTCATGTATTTTAATTCCAATTGCAATTTTTTCAATCTATCTCTTGATTTTATTTTATATACATTGAGCCTCCTTAACTTAAAAGAAATAGTTTTCGCAATGATGGATAATAATTTTTGCAAGGTTCTTTTCTGGGACCACTTTTTTTTTTTACACAATTTCTAATTTCACTGTTGTAAGTATGTCCAACTAATTTCACTTTTGCAAGTATGTCCACTGCTGTAAGTATGTCTAAATTATAACAACAAATATGATTTCCAATTTTACGAGGCTTCCACAGCTGCATGTGTTCTCTTAAAGTAAATGGTTTTCGAGTCTGATTGCAAATTACAAATGTTTTATTTATCATTTGCATTTCATCTATGTAAGTTTTCATAAGACTAAAAGGTAGAAAATAATTTCACTGAACAACAAATTTTAGCTTTTTTTGTGTAACAGAACAGAAACTATATTTTTCTGGTGCATTTTTTTACGTTGAGTTCAAATATCATATTGAAATCGCAGCATAAGCTCTAGTTTTTTAATGCAATTTATCAATTTATTATGTTTTCACAAATATTACATATAGATTACAATAAAAAATGTTTAGTCATTTCACGTTAGACACTCTAGGGCCTTTATATGCTTGCTTGTACACAGTAATAAAATCTGAAACAAACAGATAAAACAGTTAAATTGCATGAAAAACATTAGAAACATAGACACAATTAAAGAAAAAGTCAACCCATTGAATAAAAAACCATGAAATGAATTGACAAGACCTCTAGTGATAACTTGGAATCTAAAGGTAAACAAAACTTTTCAGGTTTGTGTTCAGCACCCTTGAATTAGTATATTTCAGCTATTTTTGTTTCCGTCTGTTGAGCAGTTTTATTAAAATATATATATATATATTTTTTTTTTTAACTACACCTTTTTCTTGAGTCGGACTAAAAGGGGGAAATTAACAATTATTAAATAAATCTTTAAACCTTTTCTTCAATTAGACTAAAAAAGAGAAAATAATTTTTTCTTTTGATTGATCCATTTGAGCTTAATTTCTTGGAAATTCTTAAATTTTTACATCTTATAAATTTATTGAAACTCAAGAACACTGGAATGTTGGGGCTTTTTCCTTTTAACTGTTTTACATTTATTATCATCCTAATCATAAAAAAACTAAAAAAATATTTAATGATGAATGAAGTAAAGTTTGTAAAATTTCTTTTATAATATCATTATTAGATTTTGTTTAATTAAGAAAGTTATTTTAAGTAGTCAAATAATGGTAGTCAAATAGCAAAGTAGTTCAGTAACAGTGTAACTATTTATTAAAAGAAAAAGGGTGATAAAGATTTAGCCTTAAACCAATTGTCACTCTAATAGTATAATTATAATTAATATTTTAAATTTTACTAGATGTGCTCAGTAATGATAATATTTTTGTGTGTGCATATTTAGATGAAACTCTCTTGGAAACTGACAATGAAAATCAGGAAATGTCCAAGCGTTTTCTTGGCTTTCAAAGGTATTTGTTAAAATTAATTTGATAAAATTATGATTAAAAATTTATTATTAGTAAGAATTTGGTAAACTTTTCTTGTATTCATTTTTTTTGTTCTTGATTTTTTAATATTATATTTTTAGGTTAAATGTTGTATTTATGCTGAGTTTGTTTTGTTTATTTGTTATCCAATATGCCCCTATGAATTTTGTTTTGTATCTTTTTTTTCATAAATGTTTGATCAACATATACAAAATAAACAAGTAACGAACAAAATTCCTGCACATGTTTCGTGCACATGTTTCATGCACATGTTTCATGCACATGTTTCATGCACATGTTTCATGCACATGTTTCATGCACATGTTTCATGCACATGTTTCATGCACATGTTTCATGCACATGTTTCATGCACATGTTTCATGCACATGTTTCATGCACATGTTTCATGCACATGTTTCATGCACATGTTTCATGCCATTAATCAAAGCAAGATTAAAAATAAAAAAATTTTATTTCAAAATTTAATTAGTTCTTTAAAACTATATAACTTCTGTATCATAATGAAGTTAATATAATTTCAAATTTTTTCGGCGTGAAGGAAAAAGAAGATTCATAATTCAAAAAATAAAATACTAGAATGTCTTATGTTGGTTGAATTAAGTGATTGCAAATTGCAATATCTGGAAAAGTTTCTGTTCCCAAAGTAAAGTTTCAAAAAAAGGAAAGCTGTGAACACTGTGGTGTTATTGAAAAAGGCAAATTGACTTAAGTTTATTTACCAATAACAAAACAACAAAATAAGACAACAAATATAATAAATAGCACTAGCTTACTCATAACTTTCATTTATAATTTTTATTTATTTAAACAACAGTTAATCCAGGTATTATAAGTAAAAAAAAATAATCCAAAATTATTATTATTTTCCAATTTTAATTAAAATAATAATGCATCAAAAGAAAAAGCAATAGATAAATATTATTAGAAAACTTAACTAACACTTACTTTAAAAACAAGAATTTCTTATTATTATAAGTGTTACTAATAGTCCAAAAATATGTGTTAATTTTAAGATCAACCAATGAAAATACTGCTAATTTTTTTATATTAGCAGGAATTTGCCACTTTAAAACTTTAAATGTTGTTAATTATTCAATCAATTAAAGAAAAAATAATAAAAATAGAAATATGTTTGTAAATATTTTAGAAAATTTTTTTTGTTTTTTCTATTAAACTAGAAGTGCTATAAATAATTTTTCATATTTTTTAAACACGTTTGTTTTTAGTTTTTCATAGAAAATGTTATAGTACTACAGGTTTTGTATTATAGTTTCAAGAACAATGAATAAATATTTTTTATTGAGAATTATTATATAAATTATTATAGAAAATAAAAAATAAATTATTGTTTTACAGTTCAAAGGCTGCTAACCTTTAACCTTTAACACGCCTTATTAAATAAAGTTATAAGCTTTTAATGATTTGACTAATTTTTAAATTATTTTATTTTTTTAATGTTAATTTTACAATGCTGTAACTGAAATAATTTTCATTAATATTAATGTCATTTCCTATAAATAAAATAAAATTAATGGCATTGCGTAGTAGTGTTTAGCAATTCTAATAAAATTTATTATCTTAAAAAAAGTAAAATAAAACTTCAAATCAAATGAGTAAATATTGTTAATAAATATTGCTTTTATTTTATTACTTGTAATAAAATAAAATTTTAGATATTTAAAAAAAAATATTTAATAATGTTTTATTTAGATTTAAATTAAATTAAAAAAATTGGGAAAACAAAACATTTATCCCCTGGTAAAAGTTGTTGAGTTTAAGAAGATTCACACATATTTATGTTTAAAATATTTTTTGTTGAAATAAAAGTCTTTTATATCTATATCTATCTAGTTTATGCCTAAACCCTTGGTCAATGTATGTACTAAAGCCTCTGCAAATGGCTAATTCAGTATGACATTATGCAAGACTAAGTGCTTAAAGATATTTTAATACTTACATAAATAAATATACATTTTTGATAAATATATATATAACATTTATATCTGTATTATGTATATTATATTTGCATAGCAAGTAAGTTCATAACTATGAAACATTTAGCAAAAAAAAAAAATCTTATTACCAAAAGCACCCTAAAAATCTATTAAATGTTAACCTTGTCTACGTAAGTATATGTTTTTTTTAAAAAAAAAAGTACATGCATCAACTGACCATTAGAAAATGCAAAGGAGTGCTGCTACATCCACTGAGGGTTTGGATTGAGTTTTATTTACAATTTAATTAATTATGATTTAGTTTATTAAATAATACGTTAGAAGCATATGCATTTCCAAATTTACACACACACACAAACACACAAACACACACATACACACACAAACACACACACACACACACACACACACACACACACACACACACACACACACACACACACACACACACACACACACACACATATATATATATATATATATATATATATATATATATATATATATATATATATATATATATATATATATATATATATATCTTTTAATGCATTTTTTTATGTGCATTTTTATATACTAACCAAAAAATTTAGAGAGGTTTCTTTAAAAGAATTAGTTTAAGGTTACTAGTGTTGTTAGTTAATTAATTATTTAATATATTGTCTTTTTCATTTCATATCTGATATGTTATTATTGAAGTTTGTTATACCCTAAAATGAGGTAACCACTGCCAAATTCAAAATCTTTTTTCTTTCAAAATTTAATTATGAATCATTAATATGTTGATATAAGTTGCATTAGATTTGCATGGTGTAAATGAAATAAACCGTGAAAATAAAATATTATATTGATGACCCTTTAATTTTATTGGTGAATCAAAGTCACTTCTATAATGGTATTTAAAAACAGTTTATAATTATTGATTAATCGTTTTATATTTTACATATTCACAGATTTATGGATACTAAATAGTATATTTTTAAGACAAAAAATATTTGAAAGCAACAGTTTAAAACTAATTTAAAAATTTATTTAAGTTGTAAATAAATAAACCTTAATATCTAAAACACTAAAACCTGAGCATCAATCATCAAACAGTTCTAGAGTTAGTAATTAGATTATCTTTAATTATTTGCTGAATAAATGTGGATAACTTGTAGATAATAGGTTATTTTACAGCAGTCGTTTTTTCTTTGTCTTGTTCATATTTATAGCTGTTTGCATCAATTTTTTCCTGGATCAACAGAGACTTTCTTACTTTTTATAGGGGGTATATGATCATTGCTTTCGCTTTAACTAAATGTTGTATGAAAGACTTGCTGACAAGAGAATCTATTTCCACAGTGGCATCTTTATTTGTAATTGTTATTTTAGGAAGTCTATTTAGCACCTGTTTTCAATCAAGTGGATATATTCCTGTTTTTCTGAAGCTTGATTTCATATTTTCATAATCAAGTTCTTCAATTTTATTTATGAGATGTTTAAGCAATACCCAGTATTGCTTAGTCTTTTGGAAGCCAAGGAGCTTTAGTCCCACTTTCATTCCAAATTTTCTCTGATTGATACTTTCCTAGATCAAAAATATGCAACATCCAATAGGTGCTCAAATGTGTGGAAATCAGGGAAAGTTCAATGAGTTTTATGTTATTTTTTTACAGGATCATCAATTAAATTAGTTTTTTCGTAATTCCAAACCTTTGTTAGAGGAACCCTTGCTATTTCAGAAACGGTATCATCAAAAAAGTTATTATTAGCAACAATACATTTGCTCTTTTAAACATTAATTGCAAATCTAACAATTAATTGGTTATTTCTCTTTAGAAATGATTTTACCCATTTCAGCACTAGACATGTTTTTTAATAGTTTCTTAATAAACATTACTTTACGGTCTACATAAGACTTTATAATTCTGCGTAAATCATAAAAGTCAACTGGGAATCAGAATAAAGACACTATATAACTGTGTTCACAAACAGTTTGTGAAAATTTCTTTTTCAATGTTGGTAAATATTGTGCAACTACCTTAGGTTTTTTTTTAATTTTGCAAAATAAGGAAGTTTAATTATCTGTGTCAATTTCCTACTTTTTACTTTATTTAAATATTTGGTTAATGCTTACTTGGTACATGAAATAAAATCGCGACTTCCAGCAACACGTTTATATATATATATATTCTTGGCATGTTCTCCATGTTATAAATATGATTTTTTATTTGTATACTATCCTAAAATCAAAAATGAAATCAATAATTTTATATCTATAGACCAAATTTTTATAAAAAATAAATTAAAAATATATCATTAAAAACCAATTATTTACATTATTTGCTTAGACCAAAATCAACCAAGTTAATTCTCCGCAAAATTTTAAAGTTATTAATACTGTTATAAATTTGACAACTATTATACAATAGTCATCCTATAAAAAATTTAAAAAGTTAAAATATCACAACTCACTCATCCCAGCTAACACAAAACGTTCAACGGACATTGCGAACGTTCATACAACGTACTCGAACGTTCACAAGGTTCGTCGAACGTTCACGAACGTTTTGTGTTAGCTGGGATATTAACAGTAGTTGCAACCAGCCAACAATTTTGCGCATACAAATTTTTTAATTTTAAAGCCATTATAATAATCAAAAAATTATTTATATCAATAGTTTCGCAAATTAATTAAAACTTTAGCCATTACAATTAATCTTAGTAATAAATAAACACAATAGTTTTGCTTTTAGTATATAATTTAATTTGGTAGTTTGTATAATTTAGCCAAAATCGCCTCACTTTACGGTAACTAAAAATATTTTATTTTTAGATTTAATATAAGAAGTGAAAAATACTTTTTTTTGTTTAGAAAAATTCAACTAGCAATATTGCACAGACCTTCTGTTGATTTTTTTGATGTTTTTCCAACATATTGTAACAGTCGAAAAGATATTGCAATTGCTTTTTACACTGCACTAAGTAAGTAAATTTGAGTATTAATTTTATTTAAATCTTTGATGATCTTTGCGTATAATGTTTGCGTATAGACCACTTCTAGTATGGGAATCTAAATTCTTTGCTTCTTTTCTTTTCCACTTTTTGATGTTATGAACTCTCGTTAATTTTTTTTATCTTTGTTTTTTAAATTCCACTCTTTAATAAAAGCTAAGTAGTAATCATAAAAAAAGAGTATAGAAATTTATTGTTTTATAAAGAAAACTAAATTATAATGGAAACAAAACAAGAAAGGGATTTCAACAATTCACTCATTCCTAATTGTGCCCACTCTCTTTTTTCATGGGTTTATTGTTTTGCTGCATTTTTATTTTACATTATTTTTAGATTTTTTTTTTTTTTTTCAAGTTTTACATTTTTCTTTAAGATTTACATCGTTGTGGAAAGATAACTCTTAATCAAAAAGAAATATTTGGACCAATTACTATTTCGTCAAATTAAATTTATTTAAAAAAGTTTTAAAATATTAAATTATATAGCAAGTATTAATTTAACAAAATATTCCGCTTACGAAGAAAGTACTGAATTGTCTTTTGAACTGAATATTTCAAAAGTTTTATCTAAACCGAAGCTATTTTTTTTTAAAGAATTATATTCAAAATATAGAAGATATATTTTACAAGGAGATAAAAATAATGTTTTAGAATTTTAATATATTTATATATTTAATATATTATTTCTAAAGGAAACCTAGATAGTATTTTTATTATATTTATGATGAAAAAGATATTTTTTATAAATTTTAGAAAATTTTAGACTATCGATAGTTCTATTATTTTTATTTCGCGCTCATAATTTAAGCAACATCGAGTATGTTCTAGTTATTTAAGCATATCGTGTAAACATATCACGAGTTATTTTAAAGTATATGACGTTAGCATATTACGAGTAATTTTAAAAAATATGACGTTAACATATTACGAGTTATTTAATAGTTTAACTTTTGTACTAGTTGGAATTCTTTTAATATTTTAATGGTTTTTAATCCTTTATATGTTTATATTAATAAATGTTAATCTTTTTTAACTGTATATAAAGTTAATAAATTTGGTTGATATTCTTAAAAGTTTGTCAAACAATTTTTTTGTTGATTAAGTTAATCTTCCCTTTTGTCCAGTTTCATTCAACAATATCGTAATAAAATTTATACTTGATCATGGTTTATTATCAGGGTGTCTGCCAGGTCAGGAAAAAGTCAGGGAATTTAAATATTTGCAAAAAAAATCAGCTGATTATCAGGGAAATTAGGTTAAATTTTAGAAAAATTAGGGAGAAATCAGGGAAAGTGGCTCTTCATCAAATTGACATAACTTTAATAAGTTGTATATGTGGGTTGTATTGTTCATATTTTTGCAATTGAAGAGCATTTTTCTAAACGAATTTATGTAAATTTTTGTGAAGTTGAGTTTGGGTAACTTTAAATTAAATCAGGGAAAACAGGTAGAAGATCAGGGAAATCCACCTTATTGACAGACACCCTGATTATGTCTAATTATTTTTGCAAAAATAAAATATACAAATCAGGGCCGTCCCGAAGAGGTCTTATATAGGGGGGAAGGGATGTATGTTTTTTTTTTTTGCCAACTAAAAACACTAAAAAAAAAAAAAATACTCAATATTTGCAATTTGCCAACTATAGTTCAAAACTTGCTCAACGTGCAAACTCAAATGCTTAAATGACAGCTTTTGGGGGGTGGGACACCCCCTCCTCCTTCGGGACAGCCCTGATACAATTACTGAAACTAACTAAGGATTTCAAACTAGTGAAGCACTCGCCCAAAAATAGTTACTATCAATCAGTATTTTTGTAAAGCAAATCGACTGACAAATAAAGAAAGTTCTTGACGTCTGACGGATATCATATAAGATGAGAGACAAACACTAGATTTCTTAAACCTTTTTGACTTCGCTATAATATGATGCTCTGAAATACAGTCATTAAACTCACAAACCAGCAAACCTCACTTGAGTAGTAATTCATGTATAATAGTGTATTTTTACTATATTTTTTTTTCTAATTCAAAAATTAAAACTGTCCAAGGATCAATTATATTGTTACGCAGACCTATTTTTTATTCAAACCATTAAGAAAAACGTTATAACGATTATAGTTCGTGTTTCTTCATATTTAGCACTTCTAACAGTTACCGCGGTATTACTGAGCCGGTTGTTATTATTACCATAATTTATTAAACATTTCCGCGGTAACCCTAGTAATACCGCGATTTCTGTTACAGTGTCGCTCTCTATTGTCTACTAACAAACCAACTGTCGGAGAATCTTGAATAGAAAACACGATAGATTAGATTTATTAACGTAATGCACATGTTTTTTAGTTAATAGAAGCAGATATTAAAAGGTTTTATAATCTTCCTAAACTACGATTGACTCTTGGTAAAAATGCTTCAGGTTTAGTCTCTTCAAAGAGTTCATCAAAGAAATTATACAAGATCCTTCGAATTTTTTAATTATTTTAGCACACCAAGAATATTCGAAGTTTTTTAAAATTAAAAAGGGCTTGATTTCCAAAAAATGAAGAAACTAAATTTTTGGAGGCAAAAATCATTTTACCAATATTATAAATGCTGACTTCTAGAAATGTTGCAAAAAAAAAACCTTTTTTGAAAATATTTTTATGAAATATGGAGGATGAAAAGCAATATTAAAAAGAAAAATTTTTTAAAGTTTAGTTTTAAAATTTATTTTTACTGATTTCAACAGTAAAAGTGTATTGCTTGAATAAACGTTTAATAATCTTTAAATGCTATAATTTTTTTTGCTCAAGATTTTTATAATATTTAAAGAAACTTTTCTTTTTTATATATAATTTTCAAAACCTTTTTACTACCCGTAATATTGTATCTAAAGAGCACTAATTTGGAGTCTTTAAATCAATTCCGTTCATCGGCATTAATATGAATTTAGTTAAAATCCTTTGAAAAAGTTTCTTAATTTACTACTGATCTTTGTTCTAATCGGTTCTGACGTATATTAACTATATAAAGTTGTCAAAACACAATATTTCTATCAACTTTCACAAAAAATACTGGAATTCCGACCAAGAAAGAGCTTATAATTATGGAAAATTGCCAATAAACGATCAGAACAGATCATATCGTTAAACTATATTGTTCATTTCACCTAAAAAACTTGTTAATATAAAATCTTATTTAAATTTGGACGAGCGATTGTGATTTAAAGACGATTTTTTTTAAAAAAAAAAGAACCATAGGTCTGGATTTTTTCGCTACAAAAATTTATATTTTATGATACCGTAAAATTTATCATTTTAAGTTTTTTCGTCTTTTCATAATTCACAGACCAGACCATTTAACAGAAAAATGTCGCAGTCAACAAAATATCATACAGACGTTCTATTATTTTAAAAGTGCCTTAACTTACACCGAGTACTTGTTTTTAAAAACTACACGCGCATAAATTCACGGAAAAAAACATACTAAAACTTTTTAGTCCCTGTATAATAATTGTTAAAAGTTCAAAAGGTTCAGAGACCAGGAGGTAATCCACTGGTATTTAGGGTGGTAGCCCTCCTATCAAAGACCAACTCACCTTTGTGAGCGTAGATATTTATTCAAATATCATGGACTTCTTTCGAGAAAAAAATTGCCCAAGGATTTCCCAAAGTAACCCGAGTGAATTGACTAAGCAACTGCATACTTGGCGTGGAAAACTATCGTCACTCGTTTCAACTCTTATTACAAGAGTTAGTTCATTAGAAGCAGATAATGATGCGAAACGCCTTGAAATTGATAGGCTTAAACAAAATTCTAATGGTATAAGTAGTGCATGAGCTGGCTTCACTAACAAAGATAGATATGGAACCTCTAAAGAGAATGATGCAGTTTTATTTGCCAAAATCACGAAGGAAAGCAATGAAAAATTAAAAATAGTATTATTATCAGCGGTGTGGCAGAGTCTTCTAACCAAAACGACGATAATAAAGCCTTAGACGATATTCTGGCTATTTTGAAACTGTCCAGAAATGTTGTTAAGGTTCAGAGGAGACTCAAAAAGAAATATGTTCCTTCTGAAGTTTCTCAGTTAAGTAATTTAAATGCAACTCATACAAGCCAAATGATTTCGCATTTTATTTTCTCCTTAAATTTTTTACTAATCAGCCTTTTTTTTTCCTTCTGAGCTTTTTCAAATTTTAATAAATCCTTAATGCTTTCAATTTTTCTCTTAATTGTCTTTTTATTTTGAATTTTTTTTTTTTGCCTGACATTTTTTAAACATGCAATCTTTTCTGATCGTTGATAAAGTTTAAATCTTCTCGTCTACTTTTAATTCTTTTGTTTCATTATTTAAGATGATATCTTTACAGTTTTTTTTTATATTTATCAACTACACCCTTCCCTTTTAAAAACCGCATTTTTTGCCTAAATAGTTTTCTAGGTCAACGAACAATCTTGTTTCTAATCAAAAGTAGAAGAATTCATTAATGATATAACTAAAAAAAAATTATAAAGAAGTAAAAAAATTCATCAAAGATATGACTAAAAAAAACCATCATATCTTGATAAATTTAATCTTGAAAATATACTACTATATTATCAACTCAATTTAAATTTGGTCTGAATTGTAAATTTATAAGTATTTTACTATAATATAGTAAATATATAATATCCTGGTCAATATTTCCTTCACCTGACAAAGGACGCATGGTAATTTTTTTTACCATGAGACAATCTCCTATTGTAACATATTGAGCCGTAAGTTAATCACAAATTAGTCATGAAGCTCACAAAGATATGAAATAACTGAAGAAATATTTGGAAAATTAGCTAATAACATAATCTCTGTAATGGTAATATTGCAATACAGTTTTCTTATTTGAACAATTGTGTTATTGGTTGTATATTTCTATGTTTTATATTAATTCAATACCTTTTCCAACATAAAAAACTTTACAATGAGATTAGTTTTTTCGCAACAAATGCTTGTTGACATTTTTTTTATTTACACAAAAATAAACAAAAATTTAAAAATTTTACAAAAAACTTTTTATCTCCTCAACCAAAAGAACGACTTTTTATTTACACCGCGGTGTAGATAAAAACCCGTTCTCATCACAAAAAATTCCGTGCACCTGTGAGAAATTTTTTCATTTGGAAAAAAAAATTTATGTTAAGACATAGGTTTTTATTGATAAAACACGCTGTTAAATGAAAAATTTTTCTTAAATGATTTTCTACTAATTTATATAAAGTGCCGGAGTAAGGAAAACTGGAGTCCTAGGCACTAAAACTTTTGGGGGCCCATTTTTGCATTTAAAAAGTTATTTTTGTAGAATTATTGAGTAATAAAGTACGTACATTCATTAATGTTAGTATTCACCAATGCACATAAGCCTTTTCTTCATAAATATAAAGAATTATGTAAAAATCTGGTTGTTTTTTTTTTAAACATACTACTTTTTTGTTTTAAGTATACTTTACATTTTTTTTTTACATTTATAATTAGGACATTTGCAAAACAACTTATAAAGGATATCACAATTTACGCAATCGGCATTGTTATACAATATACCCTTATATATATTTTTTCCTATACATTTTATCGACAAAATTGTTTATTATATCATCAAAATTGATCTTGCGAAGAATATCTGATTTGATAGA